GCAGGTGGGTGCAGCATGGGGGGGTTTGTGGGGTCAAATCTTGCAGGGTCAGATCTTGCGGGGTGAACGGTTTGGTGGGTTTGGGGCGCGGTGGGGAAACCCCATGTGAAGGGTTTTTGGGGCTGAGGGTGGAATGAAGCAGCGGCGAGAGAGGAGAGCAGAACCAACAGCCCTTTAATGGGGGGGGGGGGGGGGGGTCGGTCGGGGGCTGCAGGGCTCCTCAAACAAACACAACAAAGGCACAGAGGGTTGGGATGCGGGCAGAGCGGCACCCAAGTGCTCCCAGCACCGTGCCAGCAGTGCGTGCAGCTCCTGAGCTCAGCAGCAGCCATCCTGGGCTGGGGCTGAGAAGAAATCCTCGGGGAGATCTCGCAGGAGCCCATCCAGCTCATCTGCAGGGGCAGAAAGAGGGAAGGTGTCAGCGTGGGGCTGCGTGAGAGAGGTTTTTGGGAGCCTTCCCCGTGGGGTGCAGGGCTCAGAGCTCATTCCTCACCCAGGTCAGCTGCATTGCAGCCATCGCTCCCTGCAGGCTCCTGCTGCGTGGGCTCCTTGCTCTGTGGGTGCAGCCCGGAGCCTCGGGGTGGCTGCTGAGCATCAGAGCTGCTCATCCTCTGCAGGTCCCCATCCCCGTGTGCAGGGATGTGGTGTGGGATCGGGGCAGAACGCTCCTGGGACGACGAGACCTGGAAAAAGCTGAGCTGCAGGAGCTCCTCTGATAGGAGGGTCCGTCCTTCCCTGCTCACCCCCCCACCCCCAGCTCACCTCCTGCTGCGAGAGCCCAGCGTCGGGCTCAGGGCTGTAGATCCTCAGCAGGTTGTTGGGGGTGACGTTGAGGTAGTGGTTGCGGTGGGACGGGGAGAAAACGCCCACCTGGGGGGGGCAGAGCTGTGGGTTGGGGCAGAGCTCAATGCTGGGTTGGGGGGCTGCCCCACACCTGCCTCATACCTGCTTCAGCAGCAGCACAGCACCGGGCTTCAGCTCGCCCTGCCGCTCCTCCAGCAGCAGGCGATGCAGCGTGCCCTGCATCTCCCCTGTGGGCGAGGATGGGGGTTATGGGGAGAGCTGGGGGTTATGGGGATGGGATGAGGATGGGCTCTGAGGGCTCTCACCAGTCGGGTCCCGGAATACGGCCCCGGCATCAACGCCGCTCCTGCTGAGGCTTTTGATCATCACAGCCATGCTGGGCACTTTGTTCCTCGGGAGCTGCTTCAGCGCTGCCTGCGTGCACCGACCCCATAGCACTGCTGCACCTGGGAGGGGGGGGTGGGGGTGGGATGGGGCACAGCTCACCTTGCGCAGCACCATAACCACGCTGTAGGTCCTGAGGAAGCAGCTGGGATCTCTCTCATCCACACCCAGCTCCGTCTTCATGGTCAGCCAGGGGCCCTTCCCAAAATCTTCTTCTGGGGGCGGTGGGGAGCTGGGCAGCTCCTGGGGGTGCAGCAGAGCGGCGGTCAGAGCTGTGTGAGCCCCCATAGAGCTGTGTGCCCCATAGAGCTGTGTGAGCCCCCCATAGAGCTGTGCACCCCATAGAGCTGTGTGAGCCCCCCATAGAGCTGTGTGCCCCATAGAGCTGTGTGAGCCCCCATAGAGCTGTGTGAGCCCCCCAGAGAGCTGTGTGAGCCCCCCAGAGAGCTGTGTGAGCCCCCCAGAGAGC